GAAGTCTGAGATTGTCATCGTTGTATGTTCCCACACAATGACAAAATTAGTTCTCTGCATTTCACCCATCACACGTGAGATGTACCCAGGTGGAGCAGTGGGCAGCTACGTAAGCGCCCGGGGAGCAATTAGGTATTAGTTGTCCTGCTCAGAGACATCACGACATGTGGGAATGGCTGGGAGTCGAACCGTGACTTTCTGTTCCCAAGTCGGCTGCCCTACCTCTACCTCATCTTGGATAGCCAAAAAGCGATATGACCGTGAGAGGACTGAAGAGAGGAGAATATAAGGAGATGGGATGTTGAGCAAAGAGGGGGGTAGCTAAGGCAAAGCAGAAGGCATATGATGAGGTGTATGGGAGGCTGGACACTAAAGAGGGTGAGAAGGACTTGGCAAGACAGAGGGATCAGGCTGGAAAGGATGTGCAGCAGGTTAGACTTCTTAAAGATAGGAATGGTAACATTCTAACAAGTGAGTAGAGAGTGAAGGCAAGAAGAAAGGAGTATTTTGAGGAAGACAGACGATGCAGAGGACAGAGTGAGATGGAGGAAGATGACGACTCGCTGCAGCAACCCCTGAAGAGGGAAAAGTCAAAAGAAGAAGAAGTTAAACAAGACTAGACTTCTGAGATAATGTCCTTTGTGTCACAGTTTACACTCGTTTTTTTCTTCCTTTTCTCATCACTCTGTTCACTGTTTGACTTTTTCTTCTCTGCTCTCCTGGGTTTTTCCTCTGCTGCTTCTACCAGCCTCTTTACATGTCACACCTCTCTGATTGCTGCTGATGGTTTCCACCCGTTTCTGGGTGTATATATACTTCCTGCTTTCTCCGCTACATTGCCTGATCAACTACTTGCTTCCAGCCACAGTTATCCAGTGTACTCTCCTTGTTCACAGCTCTTTAATCTTGATCCACGCCTGTTTCCCTCGACAACGTTTTTTGCCTGTCCCTTTATGCCTCAGCCCTCTGACCTTGTTGACAACCTATGCCTGTTTTTGGATTTCGTCTTTGCCTCTCCCTAT